TGTCACAGCTCACAGCAACCTCCAGCTCTTGGGCCTAGACAATTCTCTTGCCTCAGCCTCCAAGTAGCTGGGACTACAAGTGCCCACCACAATGCCTGGCTATTTTTTTGTTGCAGTTTGGCCAGGGCCAGGTTTGAACCTGCCACCCTCTGTATATGGGGCAGCGCCCTACCTATAGGCGTTGCCCCCCGGCTATTTTTTTGTTTGTTTTAGCAGGCCCGGGCTGAGTTTGAACCCACCAGCCCTCGTGCGTGTGACTGGCGCCCTAACCACTGAGTGACAGGCACCCAGCCAAAGCCATTTATTTCTTACAACTGAGGTCAACTGGTATGTGCTGGAGGACAAATGTTCCCCAGTTTGTATGTGTGACCTTGTTAGTCTCACATGTAGTTGCAGGACGTCTCTCATCAAATGGGCTCGTCTCGGAGCTGCAGTGAACATGTTAGCACAGAGACCCTGAGACAGAGGTAGTTATAATTCTGTTTATGTACTTTGATTTCTACATTGTTGGCCTCTTCCAAGGAACCTAGACATATTTTCTTCATCATTTTTTCCCTGCTTCCAGTTGATTTCGGGTCCTGACCTGTTCTTGTGTCACATCTATCCCCACTGCCTTCCTGGCACCTCCCTCTTGAGCTCCCTGCCTCTGCCTGCACTCCCACCCCTGGTCTGCTCTCCATGGAGCCTTCTGGGCCGTCTGCGGGAGAGTTCAAGTCTTTGCACACGTTCCTGGCTAAAACACTCCTATGGCACCTGTCATACTAAGAATAAAGTTAGCCTCAGCTCTGGTCTTTCAGAACTGAGGGACCTGGCTCCTGCAGCTTGAGTCACCCTGTCTCATCCCAAGCTCTGCCACATCAGGCCCAGGCCCTGGCCGCCATCAGCCCAGAGCACTGCTGCCTCACCGTCTTGTCCTTGGAGCTCACGTCCTTCAGGCATTTCTGTGTCAGTCACCTGTCACTCTTTCATTTGTCATTTCGAACCTACTGAAGCCTCCCCCACACTACATTAGAACAAGCCTGACGTGATAGAAGGTTCTCGATATTATTTTCATGTGTATTGGGTGAATATCGAATGAATGTTCACAAGAGGAGAGAAAGTCAGGGATCCTTGTGAACCCAAGTGAAGGATAGTGAGAATTCTTGTGGTTTAATTCTGTGGTCTGTTGCATGCCAGCTAGTGACCACAGTGGGTAATGTGGGACTCCCACGGACACTATCCCCTTCTCTCCTCTACTCTCAGCATTTTCTCCCCTCTATCAGCAACTGGCATTTTCTCTTTGCTACTTTAATACATCAAGACCAAGTTGGATTTATTCCAGGAATGAATTTATATAATTTATCATATTACTAGAATAAAAGGAAAAAAAATATGGCCATCTCAATAGCTGCAAGAAAGCTTTTGATAAAATTCAATATCCAGTAACGATTAAAAACTCTAAGCAAATTAGGTATAGAAAGGAACTTCTTTGAGAAGCTCTCTAGAACATAATACTTACTATGTGGATATGGAAAGCTCCCTGTGAGATCTTTTTTTTTTTTTTTTTGCAGTTTTTGGGCAAGGCTGGGTTTGAACCCACCACCTCTGGTATATGGGGCTGGCGCCCTAGTCCTTGAGCCCCAGGCGCCACCCTTCCTTGTGAGATCTAGATGAGACTAGGGTACCTGCTGACCATCTCTAATATCGGTGCTTCCAGCCACTGCCATAAAATATGAGGAAAAGTGAAAGGGATTAAGGTCAGAGAAAAGGAAAGAGGTAAAGAATTCATTGTTTTCAAACAACGTCATTATATATGGAGGCAGTCTCAGGCTTTCTAGATAACCTACTAAGGATTTAGCCAAGTGATTAGATGTGAACCAGCCACAAACAATTGGAAAATGAAAATTTTATTGATACCACTCATAATAGCATCAAGAAACATCAAAATCTAAGCAAAAGCCAGGCGAGGTGGTATAGACCTGTAGTCCCAGCTACTCAGGAGGCCAAGGTGAGAGGATGGCTTGAGCAACACAGCAAGACCACATTGGTTTTTTTTTTAGATGGAGTTTCACTCTGTCACCTGGGCTAGATTGTAATGGTGTCATCATAGCTCACTAGAACCTCACAAACTCCTGGGTTCAAGTGATCCTCCTGCCTCAGCCTCCTGAATAGCTGAGGGACTACAGGCATCTGTAATCACACTTGACTAATTTTTCTGTTTTTGGTAGATATGGGATTTCACTCTTGCTCTGTCTAGGAGACCCCATCTCTTAAAAAAAAAACTAGGCAAAGATCTGACAAAAAATGTGCAAAATTTCTGCACTGGAAACTATAAAATGCTATTACAAAAAATTAAAAAAGGCCTAAATAAATGGAGCCAGACTGTGTTCCTGAATTGAAAGCATTGGTGTCATGAAGATGCCAGTTCTCCTCAATCAATCCTTATAGTTAATGGGTTAAATGCAGTCCCAATCAAAATCCCAGCAGAGTATGTGTGTGACTTCACATACAAACCAACAGAAAAGTGGGCAAAAACCTTGAATAGGCATTTCACAAAAGAAGATCCAAGTGACAAATAAATTTATGAAAAGTATGAGAAGTGTCCCCAATATTTTTGTACACAGAGAAATGCACAAGATGAGACCGCATGGCTCACGCCTGTAATCCCAGCACTTTGGGAGGCTGAGGTGGGTAGATCGCTTGAGCTCAGGAGTTCGAGACCATCCTGAGCAAGAGCAAGACCCTGTCTCCAATAAAAATAGAAAAACTAGCCAAGTGTAGTTGTGGGTAGTCCCAGCTATTCAAGGAGGATCACTGGAGCCCAGGAGTTTGAGTTGCAGTGAGCTATGATGACACCACGGCACTCCGCCCGGTGTGACAGAAGGAGACTCCATCTGAAAGCAAAAGTCCCTCTCTTTTTCCTTGGAGCTTAGTCAGACATTCAGCAGGTAGAGGACCAGGAGGCACAAGATGCTTGGTGTAATTTTCTCTGAAGCATATAGTATTTAGGTGGTCTAATTCTAAATCTAATGCAGATTATTTGAATACTGTTAGCAAAATAGAATAAATTACCAATGAAGGAAGTTTTTGTGTTTTGTTCTTACGATGTTGCTATCTTTAGGTTAGTTTAGCCTACACTTACGAAACCAAAGATACCTTGTGCTTGGTACTCACCATCATGAATGGAGGGGATTTGAAGTTTCACCTTTACAACCTGGGCAATCCTGGATTTGATGAACAGAGAGCTGTTTTCTATGCTGCAGAGGTATGCTGTGGCTTGGAAGATTTGCAGAAGGAGAGAATTGCATACAGGTAAGAGTGGTGCCACCTGCTGGAGCCTTACACCCGCCTTTCCCCAGCCCGGGCTCTTCCTGTCCCCAGCAGCTGCCTGCAGGGGCACGGAACAGCTGGGGCCCCTGGATGGTGACTTCTAAGGGTGTCCCTCACAGTACTGGGAATATGGCCAATCAGAAGTGGTCCCTGGTTTGCTTTTTAGTTTCTCGAAATTTGAACCAGAAATTGTCTTTTTCTTTTTTTCTTTCTTTCTTTTTTTTTTTTTTTTGGAGACACAGTCTTACTCTGTTGCCCTGGGTATAGTGCCGTGGTATCATAGCTCACAGCAACCTCAAACTCCTGGACTCCAGTGATTCTCCTGCCTCAGCCTCCCAAGTAGCTGGGATTACAGGTTCCTGCTACAATGTCCAGCTAGTTTTTTTTTCTATTTTTTTCTTAGTAGAGACAGGGTCTTGCTCTTGCTCAAGCTGGTCTTGAACTCCTGAGCTCAAGCAATCCTCCCACCTTGGCCTCTCAGATTGCTAGAACTACAGGTTTGAGCTACCGTGCCCAGCCTGCTTGTTACTTGTTAGTTTATTAAAATAAAGGTAGTGCTAGTCACATGCCCATGAGAGTCCATTTCCAAGATTCTTAGATATTTTGACAGTTCTGATAACAATAAAGATTATTGTTTCTCCCACCAGAAGAACATAATTAAATGTCTTAAAATAATGTTTTATTTATTTTGCACCTTATAATTCAGTGGGGAAAAGAAAATTAAACCCAATAGTTAACTTTAATATAGTCAGTATATTTAGTTTTAGAAAATACAGTCCTGACTCGGCGCCTGTGGCTCAAGCAGCTAAGGCGCCAGCCACATACACCTAAGGTGGCAGGTTCGAATCCAGACCAGACCCGCCAAACAACAATAATGGCTGCAACCAAAAAATAGCTGGGCGTTGTTGCAGGTGCCTGTGGTCCCAGCTACTTGGGAGGCGGAGGCAGGTAACTCGCTTGAGCCCAGGAGTTGGAGGTTGCTGTGAGCAGTGAAGCCACAGCACTCTACCCAGGAGGACAGCTTGAGGCTCTGTCTCAAAAAAAAAAAAAACCACAGTCCTAACAGTCCTTCCACCTATCCCTACATGCTCCCATCTGTGGTCACCCACCACTCACAGTGGGCCTTGTTCCCATGGGTTCTGCATCTTGGGGTTGACCAACCATGGATCGAAAATATTCAGGGAAAGAAAAGGATGGCTGTGTCTGTACTGACCATGTGCAGACTGTTTTCCCTTGTCACGATTCACAATACAGTATGACAACTATTTACTTGCATTTATGTTGTGTTAGGCATTTTAAGTAATCTAAGGGTGTCTTTAGTACCCAGGAGGATTGCGTAGGTTATATGCAGACACTGCCATTTTTTTTTTGAGAGAGAGACAGAGTCTTCCTTTCTCACCCTTGATAGAGTGCTGTGGTGTCATAGCTCACAGCAACCTCTAGCTCTTGTGCTTAGATGATTCTCATGCCTCAGCCTCCCAAGTAGCTGGGACTTAGGTGCCTGCCACAATGCCTGGCTATTTTTTTGTTGCAATTGGGCCAGGGCTGAGTTCAAACCCGCCACCTTTGGTATATGGGGCCAGCGCCCTACCCACTGAGCCACAGGTGACGCCTGACACTGCCATTTTAGACCAGGGACTTGAGCATCCTTGGGTTTTTTGTTTGTTTGTTTGTTTGTTTTTTGAGACTGAGCCTCAAGCTGTCGCCCTGGGTAGAGTGCCTCGGCATCACAGCTCACAGCTGGGCTCAAGTGAGTCTCCTGCCTCTGCCTCCCAAGTAGCTGGGACTATAGGTGCCTGCCAGAATGCCTCGCTATTTTTTTGTTTGTTTCACCCGTCATTGTTGTTTGGCGGGCCTGGGTTGGATTCGAACCTACTAGCTCAGGTGTATGTGGCTGGCACCTTAGCCACTTGATTCATAGGCTCCAAGCTGTGTCCTTGGGTTTTTGTATTGATGGAGGAAAGACCTGAAGACAATCCCCTATGGATTCTGAGGGACAGCAGCATATGCAAATCCCTTCCTATAGGTATTTCTAGACTGGTTATTTTTCCTAAATCCTGGAAGGGCCTGTACACTCCTTGTGCTCCTGTTTTCCACCCAGTTGGTCACCAGGTGGAATGACTCCTGAGCACCTTCTGCACCACTTTATGTTCTAAGGTGACTGGCTCAGTGTGTCCTCCTTAGGTCACCTGGCAGCAGGTGTACTGGTCTCCCCAATACCAGCCCTGCCCAGTCCCTGCTCCATGATGTGTCCCCTGGCATGGGACCCATGGCACCTTCCCTCTCACTTCATAAGCCAGGCTGACACTTAGGATGCTGCTTCCCTGGGGGGTCCCCATGACTCCCCCAGCCTCAGGGCCTCCTGCTCCTGATGAGTGCCCTCTGCTCCCTTACACCAGCGTGTAACCACTCAGGTGTCCTCAGGCCCCTCCGCCTTGGTATGTGCTGCTCCTGTGCTGGCACCTCTCCCCACTGCAGCTTTCTCCTCTGAGAAGCTCTCACTCACCTGTCCAGAGTTGGCCCAAGGATGTCCATCCTTCCTGAAGCACAAAGTGTGCCCCTCCCGCACCCTCAGGGCCCTGCGGGTCGGCTCAAGCAGGTCCTGCTCCTGCCTCCTCTGATGGCCTTTCAGCATCTCTGTATCTTACCTACCCCACAGCCAAGTTCAGTACCTCTTCAGGACCAGAGGCCAGGCCTGACGGTGGGGCTGACCCTAGACTGGGGCTTATGCTGTGCATTGTGTTAAGGTGGAAGACTGCCCTGGCGGTGACTTCTCTAGGTTCACAACTGGTTGTCTGAACCAAGGGCACCTTGTGACATCATTTCAATGTGAAGTGTGGTGACACTGGAAGGTACAGCACACCTTCAGGGGGCTTGGTTATGTCACTCCCAGAGGAAGTCATGCTTTGCAGGTGATGCCATGAGCACCCGTGTTTGTCTCCAGTCTCAGAATGCACCTCTGGGTGGGCCAGAAGATCGTCTTCTCCCTGCCAGTTTGCCATTCCTGTTTTGTCCTGTTTTCAGTATTGCCACTTGACCCTTTTTATCAATCTAGGTGCCAGAAAGATGACCTCCTTTTCCACAGAAAAACAGTTCATATAAAAGTACATTAATTTTTCAGCAATCTAAAAGTCAGAAAAGAAGAGCAACTTCTCACTCCGCGCCTATAGCTCTGTGGTTAGGGTGCCGGCCACATACACCAGGGTTGGTGGGTTTGAACCCAGCCCAGACCAGCTAAACAACAAGACAACTACAACAACAAAAAAAATGGCCGGGTGTTGTGGCAGGCGCCTATAGTCCCAGCTACTTGGGAGGCTGAGGCAAGAGAATTGCTTAAGCCTAAGAGTTGGAGGTTGCTGTGAGCTGTGATTTCACAGCGCTCTACAGAGGGCAACATAGTGAAACTCTGTCTCAAAAAGAAAGAAGAGCAACTTCTGTTTGAGGCACTTGGGCAAGAATTCAAGGGAACCAGATGTCAGAATTGGGACCCTCAGGAGCATCCTCCCTCAGAGGCTCAGCTGCACTGGGGTGCGGTACCCAGAGAGCAGGTGGTAGTTGAGAGGCACAGCCTCAGATTGGGGCCTGGAGGCAGTTCCAGAGTCTTCCTGGCAGCTTCGTTAAGGTAGTAGATGCCTGAGATTCTCTCTAGGATTCATGCTATAACGGGACCCAGGCTGATCGCAGAAGATGTCCTGGAGGAGCTAGGACTTACCTGAGGCTTGGGAAGAGGGAGAAGAGTCTTGAGAAAAGAGAAGTGTTGTACTTCTCAGAGCATAACCATTTTTAAAATTTCATATTAATATGAGGGTAAAACTATTTCTTGATCTAAGAAGTCAACCTTGCATTTGAAACAAAGCAATGTGTGTGTGCGTGTATGGAGGGGTTAAGTCCAAGTAAATACTTTTATCTCAAACTCTTATGTGACATTTCTATTGCATGTTTATTATGCAAAAGTCTAGAAAGAAACTGTTATTCATGGGATTTCAATTTTTTAAATTACCTTAGGAACATAGTTTCTATAAAATCAAATTAATTAAGGTACTTTAACTAGGAAGAGACCTGTGAGTGCCCTAACACTGTCTGAATATTATGCGGGAAGAACCAATTCCTTATTAAATAGCACTGGGTGTGTGATTATGTCAGTGCCATATGTGTGTGACTGTTGATGGACATCTGGATAATTTCCATTTTTTAGCTATTAAGGATAATGCTGCTATCAACATTTGTGTATAAGTTTTTACCTGAACATGTGATTCTAATACTTTTAGATGAATACCTAAAAGTAGAACTTCTTGGTTGTACTGAAAATTTATGTTTACCTTTGTTTTTTATTATTTATTTATTTATTTTTTTGAGACAGAGTCTCACTATGTCACCCTTGGTAGAGTGCTGTGGCGTTACAGCTCACAGCAATCTCCAGCTCTTGGGCGATTCTCTTGCCTCAGCCTCCCAAGTAGCTGGGACTACAGGTGCCCACCACAATGCCCAGCTGTTTTTTTTTTTGTTGTAGTTGTCATTGTTGTTCAGCAGGCCCGGGCCAGATTCAAACCCACCAACCCTGGTATATGTGGCCGGTGCCCTACCCACTGAGCATGGGCGCCAAGCCTCTATGTCTATTCTTATGCCAGTACCATACTGAGTTGATTACTATAGCTTTGTAGTAAGTTTTGAAGTGGGGACGTGTGAGCCCTCCGAGTTTGTTCTTCTCCAAGATCATCTTGGATATTGCGTTCTTCACATTTCCATATAAATGTTAGAATCAGCTGGTCAGTTTCTGAAAAAAGGAAAAAAATGCCTTCTGAGCATGGCTTTGAACGTATAGATCTGTCTGGGTGATGGTGACTCTTTCGACCTGTCAACACAGGGCCTCTATTTATTTGGAGCAGTGATTTTCAACCTATGTGCCCTGGCCCTTTGGTGCGCCGTGACAGGATCTTAGGTATGCCTTGAAAATTTTTAGAGGTTGTTAATTAATTTTCAAGAGAAGTTCAAAGCACAGCAGATATATTCTTTTTCCACTCTTTTTTTATTTATCAACATAATTTAAGAGTGCCATGAGATAAAACAAGTTCCAAAAACACTGATTTAGATCTTTTGTTTCTCTCAGCATCGTCTTAGAGTTTTCTGTGTATAAGTCTGGCACTTTTTTGGCTAAATGTATCCCCAGGTGTTTTATTCTTTTGATATGATTTCAAGTGCAGTTGTTTTCATAATTTCATTTTTGGATGGTTCATTGCTAGTATGTAGAAATAGTCCTGGGAGAGTGACGTTATGGAGAGAGCAGCCTGCTGCTCTGTCTCCAGGTACTGCTGTGATGTTAGTAGTAAAAATGCTGCCAGGGACGGTCAGACACACGTTGACATTCATTTGTAGAGCATGTGACATTTTCAGGGTGCTTTCAAATGCACTGTCATTTTACTTCTCAACAGTCTTGTGAAGTAAGGATCACATCAATGTACAGACCAGTGAGATAGGGGTGCGCACAGTGCACAAAGAAGTCTGTGTTCTGTCGTCATCTGGGCAAACAGGTGCCTCAGCTCTTCATTGCCAGTTTCATTGCAGTGTTTTCTTTCCAAAAAAACTTGACTCATGAAATTTTCACTCATCTGGAATGCTACAATTGGAGCAAATAGGAGAAAATATTAGAAATCTAACAAAGGGACATGGATGTTTAGCTAATAGCTAATATGCGCTGGATTGCTTTTTTTAGTGAGTGAACTGTGGATTGAAAAACAGATGACATCTCCCCACTGCAAGTAGGGACTTTGGTGTACAAGAGAGTAATAGGGAGAAGAGGGCTGGGCACAGCAGCTCCCTTCTGTAACCCAGCACTCTGGGAGGCCTGGGTGGGAGAAGAGGGTCGGGGTGGGGGCTCCCACGTGTAACCCAGCACTCTGGGAGGCCT